ACTTTAAGTCAATAGATTTTGTAGTAATGCGTTTATTAATGCCAATAATTTTATATGGTATTAATAAATAATTATATTAGATATAGTTTCATATAAATTTGATTTCGATTAACGTTTTGCGAAAACTTTTGATTAATTATTTCGATTAGCCAATGATGTTTTTGCAATATCACGGGATGATCTACAAAAATCAGCCAATTACAATGAAAGCCCGCTATGCTGTTATCGGCCCTGTCTAATAAGAATTTTAAAAGTCAGCCGTGCAAATATAATCAAAATTTGGTATGACAGTAACAACATAGCAATACGATAATAAGACTTATTCTTTCAAATCGTTTTTATATTGTACCTTATAATGACAATAGTTAAAATTTAGTAAAATATAACTTAATAAAAATGATAATTCATTATAACATAAATTTTTGTATTTTAAAGATTATAAAACGTAGTTAACTTAAAATGGTAATTCATTATAACATAATTTTTGGTATTTTAAAATATAAAACGTAGTTAACCTAAAAAGTAGTTAACTTACTCTTTTACTCAGTTCTTTGTATAAACGTTATTTGAGATCGTTTTGTCTTCTTCTATGAAGTACCAGATCTTAGTTACATGCCGTTCTTTATTTTAATGCCGAAATGTTTGCATATACTCGAATTACAGGTTCAACTACCTTAAATCTCTTATAAACTTCGTCTCTAATAAAACTTTTTAAATACTGAGATTATTTTGGATTAATTTTAATAGTATATAGGTTTTCGAAAGTTCTTTCCATTACTTTTTTTAAACATATTTAATTGGTAAGTTTTTGAAAATAAAAAGTACTTTAATGCATATAAAAAGGTACGTAAAAAATATTTTTATTCAAATACGATGATCGTTACCAAATTTGAACTTGTCCACCATGCTCAATCAAGTAATAAAATTTGATTTATCCCGACGAGACAAAAACAAAGAAAAAAAACAAAAATAAAGAAAATGAGTGTCTAAACCTGTCTGGGGCACTAATAAAAAATCTCGGGAAGGCATTTTTACCTATAACCACTGCCCTAACCCCTAACCAACCCTTACCCTGATTTTAATTAAATAATAGAAAACATATAGACACACCTGGCTTTGCCATCCGGAAATTAACGTAAGCTCGTGAAAATAAAACACTTAGTTTCTTGTATTTTTGCTTTTTTCGTTTTTTTTCGACGTATCGGGCTGATCCGGGATCATTACATTTTACGTTCTCCGATTGGCTAATTTACCTTTTTAGATTTGTATCACTCGCACAAATAAGTGCGCACTTATTTGCACGAGTAATACAAACCCTAAAAAGGAAATGGCCAATCGGGTGTGCACAAAATTTGAGTGTCTCGACATGAATCCCGAGCACGAACGAAAGGAAAAAATGTCGAGAACGAAATTTTACATATAACAAGCAACAATCAAATATTTTTATAGCCTCTAATTTTAACACCCTAACCCTAAACTTCAATTTTTCGCACTTAGTTTATTTATAAAATTCGATTTCCTTTTTCGGTTTGTGTTACTCGCGCCAATAAGTACAAAATTGGTATAACATTTAAATCAAAATAGAAAATGGGTATAATTTATTGAATTACAAATTCTCGTAACATGCTAATCAAAACAATTTTTGCAAACGAAAATTTAAACCCTCGCTTATGGTTAGGGTAAGGGCGGGATTGGGCAAGGTATAGCTTATACCAAAATTCCATAAAGAAGTTTTTTTATTAGAAGCCAAAAGGTAACTTCATAATCAAAATTTTGAGATATCTATATTGCCTGTGTACATACGCCCCGTGTACAAATAGAAATTCTTATCAAAATAATCTTATTTTTACAAAAAATAAAACTTTTAATTATGATTAGATTGATGTTGAAGTTAAGGTTAAACAGGCATAGTTTATACTAACATTTTGTAAGAAATTTTTTTTATTAAAACACAAAAGATGTTATTTTTTTAGTTAAAATTTTAAGATACCTAATTTTTTAAAAAGGGGTGATCTACATGTTACACCCGATCTTAAATTTTACTTGGTCACAATACTTTAGCACTAGAGCTCTGCATGGGCTAAAAATTTGTACTTTTGCTGGCCCGCACGGCCCGCAAAATAAAATTTACTAAGTTTTTTAAAAGCTCGGCCCGCAATTTACTATGTTTTTAACAAACTAGACCCGCAATTTTGAGAGGTTTTAAAATTTTCATATTTCGGCCCGGCCAGTGCAGGCCTCTACCTAGCACCATCATGTTGTTATAGCACAGGTAGTTTGAAGAATCGTGACCATTTACATCACATTTGATATAATCAGATTAATAACATTTGTGTAACGTTGTATAATGGCCATGGTTAGGGTTTGTACTACCTGCATAATATTGGTTGTATTACATAATGTGATTATATAAAATGTGATATAAATGAGTTCAAGTGTCCCTTATAGCACTATAAAATAACAAATATGCAATGCTCGAAATTGTGCAACAATCCAGTTTTATTGATATATATATAGATATATAGATGGTAACTAATTATTAAAACTTTAATAAGCTTTATCCGAAATGATGACATTCACAGAATTAATAACTTGTCGGAATCTAGTACCCTTTAATAAATTTAAATTATTATTCAAAGGTGCAATAATACTGTTTTTACTCATCAGTATACTTATAAGTCTATTACTCCTGAAAACGAATGGCATAGGAATAATTGTAGATGAAAAAGAAATTAAACTACTATCAACACCTTTTTCTTCTGAATATCTACCTTCTTCCTGTGAAAATCTTCCGTCTCTTAAAACAAACACATCCCATCGTAAATTTTACATTACAAGTCCAAAATCCCATGAATTGACGATTTTTTATTGGCGCTCCTTGACTTTTGGAAATAAGGACGTATCCTGGGAGACTATTTCTCGAGATCTCTGCCCTTATCCACCAGAACTTACCACTTTTTTCCGACGAATATTTCACAAATTTGCTCGTAAACGTGTTCCTAATTTGAATGAATGGCCTAAAGGCTATGCTCCATGCTGGTTTTGGTCCAAAAGTGATAATTGGGGTACTTGTGCTAACGGTGCAAAATATCGATTAACTACTAATTACACACAATGGCGAGATACCGATATAGTATATTTTGACTATCCCTTCTTTTTAAAAATAGATGACCCTCCTTATTATGATATAGAACTATTGCCTCATCACAAAGCTGGACAAGTCTGGTGGTTTCAATTCTCTGATGAAGGATTAGGTTATTACTGGTTCGTTGGTCTCGGGAGTTTCCTTAATTTATTTGATATTACAATGGGCTCTCCTCCTGATCTCTTTGACATCTTCCAACCATCATATGGAATACATAAAGATCGTATTCCCAAGTTTTATGAAATTCATACGCCATTTAATAAAAAAAAACAAGATGTTTTAGTTGCCTGGATGTCTGGTAATTGTTACCCTGTGAATAATCGTGATGATTATGTTAGTGAATTAATGCAACACATAACAGTTCACTCATTTGGAAGATGTCTTCATAATCAAGAATTGCCAGATTCTATTCGCGAGAAATATGACATGAATAACGATGATACCGCTTATTATTCCAAACATATGTATGATGTAAAAATGGATACTTTCGATCTCTATAAATTTCAACTTGCTTTCGAAAATTCAAATTGTAAAGGTTATGTAACTGAAAAAGTTTATGACTCTTTCCTAAGTGATTCTATCCCCATATATATGGGTGCGCCTGATATTGATGATTATGTTCCTTCACATTCAATTATAAAAGTTACTGATTTTGAAAATGTTGAAGACCTTGCTAAATACATTTATAAGGTAGCAAACAATCAAACTTTATATGAGAGTTATTTCGAATGGAAAAAAGACAAGACTTATAAGAATTTCTGTAAGCTTTGTCACAAGACTGAAGAACAAACAATTTGTAGATTCTTTGATGAAGCTGTATGGGTCTAATTATAGATATTAAATATAGTTAACTTTAAATTAACATTTAATTTATTTTATTTAGGCAAAAATTTTTTAAAAAATAATTGCAGTACAATTAAGCTACCCGCTATTTGGGGTTCTTTATTATAGTAGAAATGTAATATTTGAAAAGATATATACAATAGTTATGTTAATCTTGACAAAAAAAAAACACTTTTATGTTAAAGTATTGAGTGAAAATTCTAAATAAATTAATATCTAGATTGCAGGATCGAAATGTGTGACAGGTTGGATTAGATTAGAAACATTTAGAAACATTAGAAAGACACTGATCACATGCAATGTTAGCCGGATACGCGGATAACGACCAATTTCGACATCAAATAGCTTATAATAATTACTTTAAACTATTAATTAAAGTTGTCATGATTTTATTGGAAGAGGTAACATGTGAATAATACATTGCATGTCACATAAGCAACGAAATACAGTGATCGTATACAAGCTAAATTGGCTGATTAAATAAACAAGCGAAACAAATTTTAAATAAAACTAAATACTGTAATAAGTAGTATACAAAAGAATAAACTATTCAGCTTCATATAAACTTATATTTAATTTTATTTTATTTGTGTTAAGGCATGTGTATATAAAGAATAAGTAATAGTTATATCCTGGGCAGTTGGGTATAAGTGGAATTTTGCAGTAAGTATAATCGGCCGCGTAAGCGGCCGGTTATACTTTACTACAAAATTTCGCTTATATCCAACTACACAGGATATAACTGATTTATCCCCTGCCATCTATGTAGCATAACTTTCATGTACTTATTTTAGAGCAAAACCCTTATTTTACGCATTTGTTTTTGACATTTAAGATAAATAGGATAATACCAACTATCTAAATTAAATAGATATATTTCCGGTAGAAATAAGTACATGAAAAAAGTTACATAGATGGGGTTGACCAGGGGATAATTATTAATATACGTACTGTATTTAAAATAAGCTATTCAATTTTATGAATATTCAGATTTATTTTTTTATTTTATTTATTATAATATAATTTTAAAAATATAATGGATATTTTTTAATCTACAATAAGTATTTAAAATAAGCTATTTGAATTCATGAACCTTTACTATTTATTCACGTTAATTTGCATTTAAGTGTTGCATAAATAAAATGAAATGCATGTTATAATAAAATATTTGGGTGCATATTATCGGCCGACGCACCTGGGTATGATAATGCTATCAGTTTAATCTTGCCTGATCTAACCCATTCACCTCTAAAATTAGATTATCTCGCAAGGATTAACTAGGTACGTAGATATAATTCTAGATGTCGGAAAGTACAATTTTAGATAGATGCAAGCTTTAGACATGACAAATATTCACTTTATAATTATATACTCTTTATAATTATATCCCACACTACAGCCAAATTACTAATAATAAGGTTTACAAAACCACTTTACTTCATAAATGTATACTTTCAATAAATACACACATGATCAGTTCTTAGAAGAATACATATATGTATGAAAGATCTGGTTAAAATGTACTACAGTATCTTTTATTTATTGCAGTATTGTGTAAAAATGCATTATAAAAGATTTTTCTTAAACTATATAACACATATTCTTTGTGTAAAGCCTTTTATTATTACATTTTTTATCACTTGATATTATTCTTATAATTCATTCGCCATCTTAATGATTTATTTCCCACTTATAGTTATACAACATATCTCATATACACGTACCGACTATACGTATTAAATTTATAAGAATAAATGAAAATGCTAAAATAGTGATATTAATTTATTATTATAACGTATTGCCGTAATTTTTTATGAATGAAAAATCCAAGAATCCCTACTACAATAATAATGGCAATTACAACAGCTACATTAATACCAATTTTTTGTCCTAATGAAATTGAATCGTTATAATTAAGGTTTTTTAAATTAGACCCATATATATCTGGTGCATCAAAGGTAAAATTTTGTGTATTAAAGATATATAGGTTCTTATTTAAATTAAATAGTGGTCCACAGAGTTGGTCTTTATTCAAGCGAAAAGTGAGTCTTTTTTACATACTTATGAAATACATAACTACTATATTCGCTATATTAACTATGTTCAACATATCAACCATGTCCACCATGTCACTATGTTTACTATGTTCGCTATGTACACATGTTGACTATGTACATTATATTTAACATGTCGACTATAATAAACATTCTTTCTATCTAAATGATCTCTTTTCGCTTATACTTTTGGGAAGGCTATTAAACAAATTTTTTGTCGCGCTTTCTAAAAAAGGAAAACAATTCATAGCAAGAAAACTACAAATAGAAAAAGGGACAAATTTATATTAATAAAAAAAAAAAAATAAAATAGAACGACTATATATAAAAAATATAGTGGAGCCGTCGCAGCAAAGCCCGTCACAACGTACCAAATTATTTCCACATGACAAAATCATGCTGCCTAATAATATGCAAGATTCGAACACAGCAAGTTGCCACACTTCGTTTCACTACTATTCTTCAAAACAACATAGGGGTTTTTCAATGTAGGCCATCCCGTGATACTAAAATTTCATTGGTTTAAAATTTATTAAATAGAGGCTTCTATTATAAAATATTTATATCCATGACGAAAATAATACCAACAGAAATTTTTACCGTTAAATTTGGATAACTTTAAACTAAAGTTGTAACCTTTACACAGAAAAAAATCCGGCAATCCAAAATTTTATTAAAAAGAAATCCTAACATATATGAATCAAAAAAGAAAAAAAAACCCAAAACCGAAAAAAAGTGAACCAAGAGTGAAAAATGCAAGAAAAAAAATGCTTAAACACTGTTCCGATATCAAACTGATCTTTATTTTTATTTAATAATCATTATACAGTTATAGTGACACCACTTCGTTTTAACATTTCTTACGAATTCTATAAACCTTATACGTACCTCCCAATTTCATATTATTTGTTATTAGCTTAGATTATATGTAGTCAAGTTTTTTATTAGTTAGGTTACGAAGAATGATTTTTCACAAATAAAGAAAGCTTAAATTGCCAAATTTAACGATTTATTGTACCTATAAGCTAAACTTAAACGTTCAAAAATACCTCTCATCTAATTTCCGAATTACCTCGCGATTTACCAAATTACTTTGACATTATATAAGGTAAAGCTTGAGCTTTCGAATTTTTTTGTCTTACCTTCACTCGGTTCATATTCATGGCACCGGCCCCATTCTTGTGACAGTAAATCGTTACTTTAATATGATGAGATAATCTTCAAAATCAATCAATCATAATAAAGCGCTATGCTCTCCAAAACATGTAAAAATATCCCTTGTAATCGCCTTGATAATGACTTAGACCTTGTCTCAACTAACTCGATAATAAACAGAATCGTGTCTCCATACACAATCTAATCCTAATCGTCTTAGCCTCAGCAAACTAATAAATGATGATTCTCATCAAATGACAGACTATTAATGTCTTCATAAATTATTAGTCATCTTGCCTCTCGATAAAGCCTTATAAATTCCTCTTTGATAAGTCGTATATTCGACGCCTATATTATTTTCCCAAATTGCAGTTATAGTCTTCACACTATAACCGCCCCTGGAATTTCTAGAAGAGGTGAGGTTCGAGTGTGACAGAGAGGTAAAAATCTATAAGGCCATGCAAAGTTAATTTTTCGTTTTGCATAACCCGCCGACCCATTTTTTTCAAAAAAATTTTTTTTTTTT